TTTGACTATTTCATTCTCTCACCTCTTAACATATTAAGACTTTAGGAGAAAGCTTATAAATTTAAATTTTATAAAACAGCTTGCTTTTGAATGCTGTGCAAATGGTTTTGTAGGAAAGTTGGGATATCCATTTTTATACGCAGTTTCACATTTATAAGGCTGTTATTATTGTCTTATTGTTTAAGTTGCATTAGGCTTCTCAAAAGCTATTAGGAAAAAAATGCAATAGGAAGACCTACCCATTGTATTTTTCAGAAGAAAGCTGGTTTTCACAATATTATTCACATTTTGTAAACAGCTTCAATGAACCTGCTCATAAAAGGTTAAATGTTTGCAGACCATTCTTTTTTGACTCAAAGATCAGAGACAAATTACTATTTTTATTTTACATTCCCTTGATGAGGATAATGCTAAACATCTGTTATTTCAGTGCTTAGACTGCAAAGAATCCTATTGCAATCCTGTAATTTAAACAAAGAAAAAAATACAGTTATACACAGTGTACATGCAGAAAAGAACAGGAGAGAGGATTTGGTTAGAACTGACTGGGGTTAGAGAAAAGCAAGAGTTTGCTGTCTGCAATTACTCAGTTAAAAGAAAAATTGCATCTATGTACATTTTTTGAATTTATCTTAGGCATATTGGATGGGGTTAGAAAAAGCAAGAGTTTGCTGTCTGCAATTACTCAGTTAAAAGAAAAATTGCATCTATGTACATTTTATGATTTCATCTTAGGCATATTGGAAGAGGCAATTACTCCTCCCTTCTTTCTAAAAATCAGAAAATAGATTAAATTTGCATTCTGAATTGCGAATCCCATCATATCCACGCTGTTATCAGAAGACTTAAGATTTGCGTGTCTACTAGTATTTCCAAAAGCTAAAGAGAATTTCAAATGGTTTCATTGGTTTTTCTGGAATGCTTTTTCTTTTTTAAGTGTTGACACTTTCACTATTCAGGGTTCTCCATTCACTCTGACACTTTGCTTAATTGCATCCGGTTTCAAAAAGTGAAAGTGAGGGTCTTTTGCATATTTTGGTATGCAAAAAATAAAGCAAGATTGAATGCTAATAGTGTGCAATGGAGAAATTCAGTGTACCGCTATGAAAATGTGGTGATGATATAATTTTCCTGGTGTTCATATTCCTAGAGGTTCTTTTTAATAAATACTATTTATTCTGCTTTTCATTCAGTCATTTATTTTTTGCAAATGTCAGTACTTCAGGGACATCTTTTCCTAGAAACTCATTTTGCATTATTTTATCTTCGAAACCAACTTGTTATATTATGGATGTTGCACTGTTTCATAATACTTCTTGATTTTTTTATACATAAGGAAAAGTAGAAATTGGTTTAACATTTCATTCATCTTAATTTTATTGAATAAATCAGCTCTCAGAGCCTCAACATGTTCTTCTATAGGTTGACAAAGTGGTAGCCGCCTCCTGAGGTTGTGGATCTTCTATGTAAAGTGTTTAGCACAGTCCCTAGAACAAAATAATGTTTCTGAGAGGTGTGGTGTGTTAATACCGAAATGCCGTCACCCCCTACTGCTAAATACAACAGCAGAATTCCATTATGTTTCAGAGGAGAGATGGATGGTATTGTATCCATTATGAACATTTCTTTTCCTTATGTAAAAGATGTTTTCCTCACAAAGCTGCAGGTCATCTGTTCTCATTTATATTCATAACTTCATAATCATTTTATCATTCTTACTATTATCAAGTAGTAGGGGATCCAAACTCATCAACTTGGAGTTTCTCTGGTCTCCAGTCTCTCTAACAAGCAGTCACCCTTGGATACCCTGAAATGCACTGGACAACTTCCTTCATTTAGGCCAGTGGTTCTCAACCTTCCTAATGCCGCGACCCTTTAATACAGTTCCTCATGTTGTGGTGACCCCCAACCATAAAATTATTTTCGTTGCTACTTCATAACTGTAATTTTGCGACTGTTATGAATCGTAATGTAAATATCTGATATGCTATATGTGTTTTCTGATGGTCTTAGGCGACCCCTGTGAAAGGGTCGTTCGATCCCCAAAGGGGTCGCGACCCACAGGTTGAGAACCGCTGATTTAGGCAAATCCCTCGGTGGTTTGTTTGTTTTTTTTTAACAACTGCAGTTTCTTCTCCACATATTAGCCAGTTGAATAAAAGTATTTCAAATTATGCCATTTCTTTAGGCTTAAGCCCTTCAGCTGATTCCCACTGTCCTCAGAATAAATTTAAAACTCCACTATGGACAGTCTATTACATGAAATGTCTGCCCACTCTTCAATGCCATTTCTCCATAGCCCCCAACATTTCAGCCACATGGGCTTCTTGTCATATTTTAATGTATTCCAAACTTCCCATAGTACAGATATTGTCACATATTTTACTTCTTTCTCTGTCCTTCCCCTATTCAACACACACACATACCTCTCCCCACCCTTTTCATGGCTAATTCCTTTACATACTGCTGGGTCCTTTTCTATATATCATATTCTTTTTTTTCTTTTTTTTAAATTGGTTTATTGCTTAAAGTATTACAAAGAGTATTATATATGTCTCCTTTTTTTTTTCTCCCCTTGACCTTCCCTAGCCTCCCATACCCCCCAGTGTCATGTGTCCATTGGTTATGCTTATATGCATGCATACAAGTCCTTCGGTTGATCTCTTACCCACCCACCCCCAACCCTCCCCGGCCTTCCGGCTGTAGTTTAACTCCTGCTTCTCCTCCTTCTCCCATGCATCAGGTTCTGTGCTGAGAAGGGGAGATAAACAAGACCCCAGAGACTAATGGAGGGAAGCATGAAACTAGGCTGGATACTAAGTAATAAAAGGGAGCACAAGACCCAGATGAAGTCCATTGTGGGGAGTGGTGGGGGGTCTGAGGGCCATGGGGAGCTTATCTAGAAGGAGTGGTGGTAGACCAGGGCTTTGAAAGATGAAAAGTCTTCACAGGTGAGAGGAGGGGATCCCAAGGGGCCTAGCTTACAGAAAACTTATATAAAAAGTATACCATTGGCCAGCTGTATATTGCTTGAATTAAATATGTTTTATGCTCACATTTTTCACCTTAAATTTTCATACTGTGTGCTGAGAGTCAAGCAGCTCTCTCTTATCCCATGAATGTTCAGAAAGGAAAGAGGGAAACTAACATTTATTTATTGAGCACCCACAATGCCCTTGGCTAGGTCATAGCATATGCATTGTCTCATTTAGCTTCCGAAAATTTGCCAGGGAAGCATATCCCCACTTTAAAGACAGGGCATTTGAGTTTCAGTGACATTAAGTACTAGTAGCTGAAATGTGGCCACACAACCAGGAGGTGATAGAGCCTGAATTTGAACCTCAAGCTTTCACTTTCAAATGCAAAACCCTCAGAACCACACTGCAGTGGCCACTGATTCTTAGAATTCACGCTCGGCCTGGAGCACATATGTTGTGGTTTTTTGCCCAGGAAAGAAATTTGGGGATATGAGTGGTTTTTCTCGCTGCCATGGCTGACCTTTCCTTTGTCACTTTACCTATTTGTCCCAGATTCAATTATGCTTATATCACAAATTAATAAGTGAAAAACTACATAATACTTGATTTAATTAGTTCAGCAGCCAAAGACCATTAAAAAAAAACAGTATTGGGGAACAAATGTCATTGTTGAAACTTCCAATCCCCTATCTTGCTGTAGTAGCTGTAAGATGCCTCAGAAATGTCCTTGAAGTATCCTTGAAGCATGGGGTCATACTCTCAAGACTGGAAAATGGCTTGTGTTTTAGAGTGAGCACATATTATTTTAATATTTTTTAAAGTATTGGATATTTCTGAGCAAGGGAAGCCTATGTAAATGATTAGAACAAATTTCTATCTTTGTTGTTGTTGGTTTTGTGGCCTTCACATATGCATATTGATTCAAAGGAAAAGCTTGTCATTTATAAATCCATTTAAACCATTTAGCACAGTTCTTTTCCTAGAACGGATTGGATGATTGAAAGCCTGGCAGATCAAAGTATGTACATATCCAAGGAGAAGTATTTCATGTTCACATTGGAAGCAATAAATTATACCCCCCCTTTTTTTGCATTCGTAATTAAATCTTTCCAAATGCTAGAAAGCAGCCAGACCACTAACAATATTTGTATCATGTTCTGGGGCTTAGCTGGTTCAACCTGACTTGAAATGGAGACCATTTGTTCTAAAATGATTTCAGTGCCAAGCCAATAGGTCAGCGTTTAATGACGAAGATGCCATTCCAGCCCAGCCTCTGGTGGGGAAGCCAAAATTAATTAACTCAAGTCCCACTGTATAGAAAACAGATGCTTCTCTCCTGTTGCACAAATAAAACCTTTGAGTATAGATGTGTCCTATTTTACTCAAAGAGTAACAAGTTGGAAGTTAACATTGTACGTTTTTCACAGTGGAGCCAGCCTTGGGTAGTGATGACAGAAGCATGAATTTACATAACGAATTCCAGCAAGTGCATGGAAAAGTGAATTATCCTCTATATCTCTTATTTTGGGTCCAGGCCAGGCCTAGGAATTTAGTTTTAAATCTGGGCTGATCCAAATGCTGATCCATTTCAGAGAGACCTGGGAGTCAGTTCCAGAAAACACCAAGGTTATTTCTAATCTACAGAATCCCTGAGGACCCCTCCCAGAAGTTTACATCTGCACATGTTTGGATTCCGTTCTTGGGCCAGCTTGCAAATGGCTTATGGTTAGATTGCTCTCTAGAGGGATGTTGTTAGGTGCACTGTTTATCCGGTTATTCATCTCAGCATTCATTCAGAATTAGAATACTTGCTTCTCCTAGACTGTGACAGACTACAAGAGGACTAATAACTGCCTGGTTCTGATCTCTTTTTAGAATTAATGGCTGTGCGATAAAGATGTTACCAGCTCGTCATGTAACTACAAGTACAGTAAACAGAAGTTGATCATCTGATTATGTCTGGTGTTTTTCTTTCTTCTGAACGAATGTGAAATAATCCATGTTTCCTTTCCTTTCCGATAGACTGAAAATGATGAGAATGGCCAAGCAGAGAACTTTTCCCTGGACCCCCAACTGGAGAGGCAGGTGGAGACCATTCGCAACCTGGTGGACTCCTACATGTCCATCATCAACAAATGTATCCGAGACCTAATTCCAAAGACGATAATGCACCTGATGATCAATAACGTAAGTGATTAGAAACCCTCTCACTTTCACCTCAAACCCTTCCTACTATGGACATTGCTCACGTTCTCTTGAGTCTCCTGGTGATATATTCTGGATGGTTTAAACACCTACTGCAGGTTCATTATTTTCCATGACAAGTTGTAAGTGGCCGACCAGTGAAAGAGAACTGAGGAAAGAAAATGTGAAACTCCTAGCTACAATGCTAGGGTGTTCCCTATTGGATCCTAAACCTGGTTCTGCTGTAGACTCTGTTGGCCTAAGACACCTCACTGAACTTCTTTGGGTGTTTCCTCCATATGTAAAACACTACTCATAAAATGTACCTGGTTTAGGGACTTATTCCATTAGATAGTATATATGGAAGTACTATGAAAAATTTAATTATAAGAAGCTATTATGGGTGCCTATTGAAGAACTTTAATAGCCTTTATCCATATTTCAAGACTCCTTTCAAAATCATTTTCCTAAACATGACACTCCATTTGTTGTTCATGCATGCATTCCTCAACTGTCAGAAGCTCTAAGCACTCATGTGAACACTCTTGTTTTTAACTCTGTCTTCACGCATACTTCTCGTGTTCAAACAAGGTTAGTGGGATGCTTTGAAGTATCAGGAGCGGGTAAGCAGTATATGGAAAACTTGGAAACTCTGAATTGTGTTCTTAAGCTTGTTCAACGGCCTGCTGTGTGACTGGATGGAAATCGTTTTGCCCGTCTGAGCTGAAGTCACTTCTAAACCCACAGTAAGAACACCAAGCTGCCTCACAGAATTGTCAGAGAACATAATGAATGGGACCATATGCCATTTTGAAAAATATAAAGTACTAAACAAATAGTCTGTGTATTTTTAAAATTGCCCTCTTAACTTTGCTTGAGCGAGTTCAGGTTGTTCTGCCATGGTATATCCAGGCCCTTGCTTATTTAAACATTCCCCTGATTGAGTATCATTTATCTTTTCACTGTTTTGCCGAGAGTCATTAGGGCCGCCATTGGTTCAAACGCTGCTTTGCTCTGCACTGTATTCAATCATCAGCACAGGAAATAGCGTTTCCTGTCTAGAGCTACAAGAAGTAGCTGGACACAAATTAGTTAAAAGGAGAAAAAAGACCCTATTGCAAATCTATGCCACTTTCACCTTCTCAAGAAAAACACACACGCACATACACAAAGAAATGTGGGTAATTGCCCTGGCTGGCTCCTCCCTGATGAGCTTGCTTCCCTAGTGAAATGGCTACACCCCACCCAGCGGGCAGTAGTCATGGGGGGAGAGCTCTGCTCAGTGTCCAAGAGGGACCTCACATAAAAGTCATGGGGATGTCCACTTCAATCAAGACACCAGGTCAGACGTTGAAGCAGAAGCTCACAGGAATATGAAAAAGTACAAATATCACAGAATGCTGGATTCTTACGAAATTATGGTTCTCTTTGTTTGAAATCCAACCTTTCATACCAATCTGAAGACAGTTTTCCATATCTAGGACACCTGCTTTTCTTTAAGTATCATTTTACCCACTTTCTTACTATATATGTAAAAATAAGTATGGTTTTATATATTTTTTAAATTATATATATATAATTTTGTATATGTAAAAAGTGTAAACACCCTCTTCTCCATGGACTCATACCCTCACGGCATCGTAGTGTGCCATCGTCTCAGCCCTTTGTGTTCGTTCCAGAGTGCCCTGCCGAGTACAAGGAACAGAGACGTGGTGAGTACCCAGCACGTGCCACCCACGGTTGGTTTTTTATTTGATTTGAAGTGAAGAGAGCTTCAAGCGAGAGAATTAACCAAAGAATCACAACTAGAAAAGAAACACGTTGACTCCTCATTCTCAATTCCATCCACTCACCCCTGTGGCTTCTCCTAATGGCTTTGGGTGGCAAAGCTAAATGTCCTGCAAAACCAATGGTGGCCTCACACGGGTCCTCTCTTTGTGGACTGTCCCCATGGAACGCCGTACTGCGGCTTGTCGCCTCTGACATGGGCACGGCCACTCCGCCTCCTGAAAAAGAATGTGTTTCAGCCAAGTTTCCTAAGGCTCAGAGTTTGGTGGGCAGTTTCCTTTGAAAGTTTACATTAAGTGCTCTGCCACTCAAGTCTCCATATGGAATTGTTTAAGAAGTTTAAAGCCAGCAATAAATGCCTCGCCTCAGACATACTGTAAGCCTTTGTCTATTGAAATGTAGCAGCTGTTTCATTGCTTAAACATACCAGGTAACAGCGACACAAAGAAATAGCACATTTATGACGGGCGGTCACTCTGGATGGGCCGCAGTCAAAAGCAGAGTTTGGTTCAGGAATTGAAAGTGAACGCACACGTGGCACCCCATGGCCCGCGAATTTGGGCGGCCTTTTCTCTGTAGCTCCCCCACCAGAAGTTTTCCACCAGAGAATTACGAACGTGGGCCCAGCTTTGTTCTAGGAAAGTGTGTGGCAAAGTGGCACATGATGCTGGGACTGAACCCACAAAACAGCCACACGTTGGGTACTCACATTTTATAACAAATGGTGAAACTGAGGCTTTGAGAGGTTAGCTTATTCCAGATCGCACAGCTGGAGTTGGCCGAATCATGATGAAAACCCAGGTCTTCTCATTCAGTCGGATCTCCTCTCCAGTTCAGCAGCAGAAAATGCATATGGCACGGTTAGGAAAACCATAAGTCAACCTCTTCAAAGTAATGGGCTCCAAACCCCATGGCTTACGCCTGGGGTCTCTTCCCAGAGGTCCATATGCCATGAAGATTTAATTAGGGTTTGTTGAAATACGAGAAACAATATTTTAAATCTAAATAATTTAAAACATTGTTCCTCATATTTCAACCAGACCAGATAATGCAAAATAGAAGGTGAAGGTTTTATGAAACTTTTGAAGAACCAAATCTAGAGGCCTTTCACCCGTGGCCATGGACTGCGGCCTGGGCTCCTGGACCCTGGAGACTACAGCCCCTCTCCTGGGCGGCTGGCACTCCAGTGGAAAATGAGTAACACATGCCCTCGTTTCGAAGCTGACCATCACTTTAATGCCCATGGAGCAGAGTGTTATTTTAAATGTTCATCATGTGAGAGGAAAGTGCATCTTAAATACCAGAGCACGGATTTGTTTCCACGGGTCAAGAATTCAGCATCCTTCTGCAGAAGGAGATCCCGACCAGGCCCCGAAGGCCCCCCACCCCTGCTCCCCGACCCCCATCACTCCTCACCAGGGGTGATGCTCTTGGCTTCTTGCAGTTCTGCCTGTTCTCAAACTTTGGGATCTCACAGTACAGAATCTCACAGCCATTTAGTGTCTAGTTTTTTAACACAACATGGTGTTTTTGAGTCAAAGGATGTGACTTTTTAAACAAGGAAAACATTGTTGGTCTTTAGCCAAACTAAATCCCTGGAAGACGAAGAAATGAGAGAATTGTGAGATCTCAAGGATTCACAAAATACTAACCAAGTTCCTCTCCAGACTACGCATCCTCAGGCTGCCAGTTACGTTTTCATGTGTCTTTGTGTGAACGAGAGCCCCCGCCGTGGTCCACACTGTGGCCCTCCCGTCTAGAAACCAAGAGATTTTAAGGAAATGGTCTCTTTAGTAACTATATTGGATGAAAACTCTAGAAATGTCTCTTCTATTTGTGGAGGCTTTAAAACGGTCTCAGCTAAAGACAAAGAAGGGTTAAGATCCAAAAATATTGCAGGTTGCTAGAGAAGGGTTAAAGCGAGAGAGGGGAACCATATGGGACATTGCTAATGACCTCACATTCCTTCGCAACGAGGCGGACGTGTTGCAGTAGTGCCTGTTTTTCTAGCCGATGGAGTTTGAACTGGAATGAGGTTTTGTGTGTGAGAATTCTTTTGTGAGCCATACGAAGATGTATAGGTTCTAAGGTGTTATAATTAAAAGCATAAATCTTATTTTGCATCTCACATCCAAGTAGAATTCGTGTATGTCACGTCCTGTGAGGGTATTTTCTGCACGCTGTTCCTCTGAAGCGGACCTTGGCCTCTAATTGCCGTGCAGAGCCCTTGGTTTCAGTGTTTGTCCCGTTGACATTCAGACCACTCAGAAAGTCCCTGAAGTG